ACAGACTGAGTACGACCCCCTTCCTTCGCGGTCGAATACAACCCTCCACTGGGATTCACATCACTCTGGCGTGCCCTGATCGGAACTAAAGTTGGGCGAAACTTACCTTTGCAATTTCTGTTAGCGTGTACTTGTCAGCGACCTCTTTGCAGTCATATATTACCATGGCGCGGCAGCGAAGCTAAAGGTGTTTAGAACTTAGAAGCTCAGAAAGGTTCACGCTAAATAAATCCTTTTTTGGGATGTGGGACCCATTCTACTTCCGTTCTGATTATTCCTGCCTTCCTCGTTGTCCTACTCTTGTTTACCATTCATCGGCAACGTGCAGGAAATTCACTGCCGTAAGATTGTAAAGACACAGCGCTGACTTTTGCTGCCATTACCGCTGCGGCGAGAGCAAACACGCAACGCGCGCGCTCGCCGTTGAGTTTTTCCACGGAGCCCCGGCACATGTAAGACAAGCCGCAGCGAATATTGCTCATCTTCCTGCGAGTTATGACGTTATTTCTGCGAATGGGCGCTACTGGGATCTGACCCACACAGCTAATAGTTCAAGTTCATCTCTTAAGGAACTTACCCCGTCTTGAGTACATGTACAACTAGTGCACGGCATTATTCGTGCGGTTTCGCCTTCACGAAGAATCTTCTCGGACACAAGACATCCACCTATAAATGCATTCTTTTTTCCTGCCTTTGATACGATTATAAAAAGTACCTCTATCAGCCCACTTTGACAGATCAATCTTATGAAAATCGTCGCAGTCGATCGGAATGTTTCTGGAAAGAAATCCGTGCAGTGTTGTCAAAAATGTCTTTCGGGTACTGTCGCGCAGATTACGGCGGACTGAGGTTATTCTCTCTGATTTCCAGCAAGAATACTTCTCTTGGTTACAGCCCCGTGGCTGGTACTAATTCCTACATACTGATTTTTGTCAGAGGTCCCCTTTGAAATCAGACATGGCAGGGCGGGGGTGACAGCGCACTGCTAGCTCCCTAGAAGGTGTGTCAAATATCAAATAGTTCCCTTCAAAAAGTTCTTCTAGCCACCCTTCAATCGCTTGCTCGATGTGGCCGACTCAGGGTAGAGCATATTTGAGAAAATCCCATCTGGGGGTCGTGTTTGGTCGATGGGGAGGGTATCTGGCCCAGGGGAAATCGTTGACTCGAGAAAAATTTCTTCCCGTTGTTGACCTTCCGCGTGCCCCACTGCGCCAGTTTCTAAACTCGAAAACTTCTTTAGAGAATTGGTACGGATTGCTAGCACGGATTCGTGAAAGTGGTGAGTAGGGTGGAGAAAAGAAGTTATACTGGAAAAGTGAATCTTTGAGGTGTAGTTGTGCCGACGCCGCTGCTTCACTCATCACGATGCTCTGTACCGTGGAGTGGAGAGTTTTATGCCCTCAATAAAGGATAAAAAAGGATGAATTTCTCATAATCGTAGTGCCTTATTGAATGCGACGTGGCCTATACAATGACTTGCGGTGGCCAGCCGATGTACAAGTCAGTGTATCCTCCCAGACGAATCTGGTACCAATTTACCGTCCCCGGAGGGTAGAAGGCTTGGTTGGCCTGGGCGGGAGTCGACCTGGGATTCGAACCCAGGACCGCGCGAGTGGTAAGCGCGCCACTTGTCACTACACCACCTCCTGCCCTTATGCCCTTAATTATGAAATAAAATGAGATCTTACGTGAGCAGATCTGGTAACAAAAATGCATCCGATTGTACTTGTCGAATCCAGTGATGATTAGCGCAGATCACTGAAGATAGCGTAACCTGTCGAATTTGTTGAAGTTGATCTGAAAAGGATCATTGCAACAAGTGAATCGCCTGAGTGTAAACTCCATATGGATACCCGAAGTGAACTGTTGTGGCCCAGGATTCTCATAGTAAAAGCGATCACATTTTTTCAATCGTGAGAACTGCTCAGCAATGATACAGCCAGCCGTTGGTCCAATCACTGCTCCTGGAAAGCTCTTATTGGAGAATGTTCTCAAGCACATTTTAATGATAATTATAAGTTTATTACGTGTGCATAAGGCATACGTGAGAAAAAAGATCGGAACACATTACGTATACAAGTTCCAATATTGATATATTAGTTACAATTTTTCAAAAACAGTAATTAACCAGCAAAATCACCAACTTATCGACCAGTCTCAAGAGAGCTAGACCCACCATACCTCAATAACCTTTTGGAAATACGGTGTCTGAACTGAGCATGTGACAAAGTGGCAGGTATGGCTTTTGTAACTTTTTTTTTCAGTTTTTTATGATGAGTTGAAACTGAAATTTTCTTGCAAATCTGAGGGACTAAGGTGTTCAAGTCGTCGGTTCTCATCCATTGGTACTTCATACCAAAGGATGAGAACCACGATTTCGACAAGATATTCTCCTGTCGCTGGCCGCTTCTGCTTCAGCCCTAGACAAGGCTATGGCAAAGACACGGGGCTTGTTGACCTCAGCACTTTAAGGTGCAGGTACGCCGATCGTATGGGCGGAGACAGAACAACGCCTTTGCTTCTTACTGATTGATGCGTCCTCTAACACTTGGCAGAATAGCGTTTTAATGGTGATGGCACAGTAGTTCTCTGTCCACGCCCATAGGATCAGCGCGAACCATGCCTTTAGCTGCTCGTTTTATTGCGTTTTTTCTACCTTTGCAAAGTATTTACTGCGATTTCTTTTTATAAGCTCAACTGTTGAGCAGGTCTTGCTTCTCGGTTTCCTGAGATCATGAAGTAGGAAGCGTTATTGCATTAAAACCGTACCTTTCATAGGGATTTCGGAGACGAGACCAGAGTACAGGTCAATGTCGTCCACACGTTCATAGACAGATTTCAGAGCTTCAATAGTCTGAGGTGACATCTCTTCTGAGAGACCTTCGAATGTGAATGGTCGTGACAAGCCACAGAATTCTCTGAATTGTTGAGATACGAATGAATCGCGTGTGCTGATCCCTACAGAGTGTACTGAACGGATGAACTTCCTTTTAAACAGGCTAAAGCAACTGGTTTTGGTCACGGAAGGTTCGCGACAGATTAGCCACGCATTCTACCTTAACTCACAACTTGTCTGTTGGTGTGAAGCTAGTCATTCCATAGTGTTGGGTGTGCGCTTCGTATTTTGCCTGCGCCCCTACGCCCCCCCCCCTCGATCTCTCCTCAAGGCAGATTTCACCATAAGCTGTCAAAAATTCCTTGGGTAATGAGGTTGGGAAACTGAAGTGTATGACCTGCCTGAGAGGTAAAGCACAGGAAACCGTCAATAACGTCCAAGTAAAGGCCTACCGTGTTAAGAGAAGAAGGAAATTTTATGCAGAGGGCCGGACAAGAGCAGCATGTGAGCATGCAACTGAGCAATACCACAGTATGAATCGGCGTAGTCATTTGAGCCACCTACGGACATGAAAGCCCTACTGTCGTTACCGTTACGTTACGCTACCAGTGTAA